GTCAGTGAATCCCCACAGCAACCTGCCTATGAAATAAGAACCAACACTACCCCATTTTAAAGAGCAGGAAACTGTGTCAAATTTGAGTTTAACTCAGGAAACTGAGTTAAGTGTGTTGACCAAGGCGACACAGCCAGTAGGATTCAAACCCAGCCCATTGGGTCTGGAGCCCACACTCCCACCCCCATGTCAGAGCTGCGGAGTGTCTTGTTCGAGGCCATCAAGTTACAGGTGACACAGCTGAGATTTGAACCCGGGTCTGTGGGTTTGAAACTGTTAACCCTCATGCCAACTGCTCCAGACCATCATCGGCCGCTTTACTCATGCCTTTCCCAGGCCCCCAGAGTGAGGGAACTGGACTGCAAGCTGGTTGAGGCTGGTGTCAGCCAGCTCGGGCCACCACAACAGAATACTGCAGACCTGGGGGCTTAGACAACAGATGTTTACATCTCACTCATGGTTCTGGGGGCTAAAGTCTAAGATCAGGGTGCCACTGTGGTCGGGCTCTGGCCAGAGTCCCCTTCCTGATTTCCAGACGGCCCCCTTCTCGCAATGTCCTCGCACGGCAAGGAGGAGGTGAGCTCTTGGTCTCTTCTTCTAAGGGCACTGATCCCATCATGGGGGCCCCACCCTCCTGACTTCACCTAAACTCACCTCCCAAAGGCCCCATCTCCAAATACCATCATGCTGCAGGACTTCAGTATGAATTTGGGGGATGCACTGTTGAGCCCCATAGCAAGGTTATAGGATCCTCTCTCTGGGGAGGACACAGCCAGGGAGGCGCTGCTGAGAGGCCTGAAGTCACTGTGTGAGGGGTGGCAGGCAGGCCCAGCCCCCCAGATGTGTGCTCAGTGTTGAGAAGCTGCCTGCCCTGGGCCACACTCATTGGTACCTCTCTCTCCCACTTTCAGACGGAGCCTGTGGCTGGTGAGGCTGCCGAGCAGGGCCAGGCCGGGCCCTGCCTGCAGGGACGCTCAAGCTCTTCTCCGGCCCCTGTACCTGTGAGCCCACCAGGCTCTCCTGCTGGCCCCGCCATGACTTCAGAGCCCACGTCGCCCCCGGTCGTGCCCCCACTCCACTCCCCCAAGTCCCCCGTCTGGCCCATCTTCCCTTTCCACCGGGAGGGCAGCAGGGTCTGGGAGCGGGGCGGTGTCTCAACTCGGGACCTGCCCAGTCCTCTGCCCACCAAACGGACCAGGACATACTCAGCGTGAGTACCTGCTCCTTGCCCAGACCCCCCCTTTCCCTGGGATGGGGCTTCAGCCTCGGACTGCCCAGCCCCAAAGTCTTTTCCAACCTGTTGTCCTCACCCGAGCATAGAGGAGCTGTGTCTGGCCCTTCCAGGAACTGCATTCATTCATTCCACAAAGATTCGTGGAGCTCCCGATGAGGGGATCTGGTGATGAGTAAGACAGACACAGCTCACAAGCTGCTATGAGAAGGGGGGATCTGTCTGCTCTTCACTACCACCTGGCAGTGCTGGGGGCCGGGGGTGGGAGGCACTCAGCATCAGGCCTCAGGGAAGAGCTGTCCTAGCTGGTTTTGGAAGACACGTCAGTTGAAGGAGGAAGTTGGGTGTTCCAGGCCGATGGGACAGCCTGGACAAAAACAGGCGTGGGATGACCTCTGCAGAGGGGTGGGCAGGCTGGACCTTTGGGGTAGGTCACTGGGTAGGGGCAGGTGGAGTGGGGTTTGTGGGAGCCAAGGGGAGACTGACTTGGCTTGGCCAAAGGAGGCTCGTGATGGCAAGTGCTGGTTGCCCGTGTCCAGTCCAAGGCCAGGCACCAGGCAGATGCTTCATAAATGGTGAACGGATGGATGAGGGATAAAAAGTGAATAGGATGGTGCTGCTTCAAGAGACAGTGGGCTCCCCATTCCAGGAGGTATTCAAGCCTAGGTTAGACATTCTTCCCTCAGAAATCTTACAACAGGAATCCATGGAAGCCTGAACAACCTCAGAAGGGGAGGGTTCTGTGCAGAGAGAGGGACACTGTCGGGAGTCAGGAGACCCACCTGCTGTGCACCCCGGGACAGCCAGCTCCCCTCTCTGCACCTCTCATTGTCCAGTGGGATGATGGGAGGACTGAGCGAGTGTACTGTGTGCAGTTTCTGGCCTGAGCAGGGTTCCCCACAGCCCAGAAGCCGGCTCCGCAGGGTCCAGGGAGGGGTCCCCAGGCCACAGCTCCAATCCCCCTACCCTATCCTCAGGACAGCCCGTGCCTCGGCCGGCCCTGTGTTCAAGGGCGTCTGCAAGCAGTTCTCACGCTCACAGGGCCACGGCTTCATCACCCCTGAGAATGGGTCTGAGGACATCTTTGTGCACGTATCTGAGTGAGTGGCCCCCACTCCCTATGTCGGCAAGTCCCTCCCGCCTCCCTGCCCTGGGCTGGGCCCCTAAGGGGTCTCGGGAGATCCCCTCCAGGCCTCTCCCTTCCCTGGCTGAAAAACCTGAGTCCCTGGCATCTTTCTCTTCCTCTCCCAGGGATTGACAGTGAACTGGAGGGGAGCTGGGGGCAGGTGGGGAGGGGCACTGAGACCCCAGGAACCACTGGCTGAGCCCTGGGCTCCTGTTCAGCATCCAGGGGCAGAGAAGTCTGGGCCAGCCCCTGGGTCGTTCAGCCTGGAGGGCAGGCTAGGAGGTGGGAGAGGTGGTCTAGGCCTGGCCCTCAGCCCTAATGCGAGATGTGACCTGGGGACCTCCCCGCGCCCTCACATCTCATCCCCCAAACAGCACAGAGAGGGAGGGATGTTCTTGATTCCCACTGTACAGATAGAGAGCTGAAGCTCTGAGGAAGAGGCCTGCCCCCAGCTAGGTAGGCCACCCTCAGGCCAGGCCGCAGTGGGTGTCTGGGAGTGGGGCCTGCTGCTGGGCTGACACCCTTCTCCTGCCCACCAGCATCGAGGGGGAGTACGTGCCGGTGGAGGGCGACGAGGTGACCTACAAGATGTGCCCCATCCCGCCCAAGAACCAGAAGTTCCAGGCTGTGGAGGTGGTGCTCACCCAGTTGGCCCCACACACTCCCCATGAGACATGGTCTGGCCAGGTCGTGGGCTCCTAGGCTGGGTGGCTCCCATGCCAACTGCCTGGGGGGTGGGGGCCACACAGGGTAGATGGGCAGCAGCCGGCTCCGTGCCCCACTGCACTGGCTGATCCAGTGCCCCGGGTGGCCTCAGTGTACACGTCTGTCTGTCGTGCTTGTGGCCGTTGAGTGTGTACCTCCGTTTCCCCATGACTGTTGTGTGAGTTGGATGGTGGGGGAGGCCACCAGACCTGCCTTCTGTCCACCCTCCCCTGCCTTCCCTCCCTACCACACATGCACAGGACCTCTCCCCTCCTGCCCACCTGCCTCCGAGTCTCTGAGGGCATGTGTCAGGGAGGCTTGGCCCCCATCCTGGGCTGGGGTTCCCCACTGGCACCTGGACCTCTCCCCTAAGAAGACAGACCAATGAGCCCTTTGGGGAGCCTGCCAGCCTCTGGAAGGGGAAGAGGATGAAATGTGGGGGCGGACAGGCCCTCACTGCTCTGGCCGCCCGCCTTCCTGCGTTCTCTTCAGTGCGCGGGAGAGGCAAGAAAGGAACCCAAGGGCAGAAGGTGGTCTGCGAGTTTCTGTTTTGCAGGCCATGTTCTTCTGCAGCCTGGCAACGGCTCTGTGAACCCCAAACTGGGGTCCTGTCCCCTCCTGTGGGCTGCGCTGAGCAATGCTGCCTCCACTTCCCCTGAGGAGTCTGCTGAAGGGTGGGGGCACGTCTCCCCAGCTTGGGTGGAGACACCAGCTCCGCCGAATCACACACCTCGCTGATGCTCTGCCTGTGCCCAGCCACCATGGCTGCCAAGAGCCTGGCGATGCATGGCAGCAGGTCCCCTCAGGCAGGGCCAGGCCCAGGCACCCACAGGATGGCCCTCAGCCTTGCAGCCCCTCTGCTGGACCCTCTTCCCAAAGCTGCAGGACAGGGGTCCTGCTGGCCCCCAGTAGCCAGTGGCTGAGGTGTGGTCCCTATCCAGTCCATCCCTTACAACGCGCGTGTGTGTATATGTATGTGTGTGTATTCATTTGCTCTTGGCAGGGGGTTGGCCTGGCCTGGGAGGCTAGGGAGGAGGGGCTTTGCCTCCATCCCCATCACCACCACACTCCCTTCCAGAGAGTGCATCACTGACAGGAGTAGAAATGGGGTTCAAGGGAGGGCCTGCCAGGGACAATGACCCTTTTGAGACCCACTCTGTGAGTAAAATGGGGCTCAAATGCCCAGAATGAAGAGGGTCGGTGACTGTCTGGGAAGACGACCCCCAGTGCTGTAAGTGCCCTGCAGCCTCAGGGTACAGAGCAGCTGGGGTGTGAGCGACATCCCCTACCCCTGGTCCCCACCACACAGAGGCTGGGTGCCCATTGCTGAGTGGTGCTAGCCAGGCCCCCCAAATTGAGAATGGCCCATCCCATCTGATACCCCACTCTAAGCTGGGGCTACTCTGGCAAGACCTGAGGCCTTTCCATGTAGAACAAAGACTCTGACCTCTTAGTGGAAGGTTTACTGGTGCAGGTTAACTCCTGGGAGGCCCCCAAAGCCCCTCCTGGGAGTAGACCCCTGCCTTCTAGGCACAAGCCAGGACGCAGGATGCAGTAACACCAGCCCTGGGGCTTCCTGGGGTGGCAGAGGGGCAGCAGTGCCCCTCCCCAATCACAGCCTTGCGGTGTCCAGCCAGAAACCCTTCTGAGACCCCCGGCCACCTGGATGCCCCCCATACTTCCTAACACTGGCAATAAACCCTCAACTGTGATGCAGCCTGGCCCACAACTGCCTGCTGTCTGGGTCCTGGGGGAGGTGCTAGGGGAGGACACCCCAAACCACCCTTGTTTGGGACTTCAGAGGCCCACATCCTTGACCTGATCAAGGACTTCTTGTGTGACCAGGGCAAGTCCCTGCCATTTGTGCCTCACCTGCTAAGTGGTGGCTGTAACAGCATTTGTGTCTGGGGCCAATTACAGTCAGACAGAATTGACACCTTATCTTGTTCTGGGAACTTTAATGTCTGCGAGAGAACGTTCTCACAAATACACACCTTCCGCACCGCTCTGCACGCACTGGGACAGGCAAGCAGGGCGGGCTCTACCTCTTACCAACCCTTGCACATACCTCCTCCCTGCGTAGACAGAAACCTGTTCTGTTCGGGAGCCCGAGCAGCAGCTGTAGCCAGGGCTGTCACAGAGGGTGGAGCCAGTCCCACGAGGAGCTGGGGGATGGCTGTCCACACAAACCCTGGCCCCATCAAGGTGGGCCTTGCAGCAGGTAATATGAGGCAGGCATCCTGGGTCACAGGAGGGGCCCTGGCACCCCACCCAACACCAAGGGCCAGGGGCTCTCTTTAGGCCTAGGCGGAGATCTCTGGAAGTCCAGAGGGGCAGGTATGGGCCCCGGTCATGCCTCATGAGCTGTCTCTGGGAAAAAGATTTCTCGGCACCGTTGCACCGTGTCCTGAGGGGAGATCACGCTATGGCCGACTGTCCGGGGGTCAGCATAGATCTCAAAGTCGTTCCCACCCTGCCACAGACGAAGGGCAGAGAAGGCAAATATACAAGTGGTGCCAGAGGAGGGTCCCAGGGATCAGGCCCAGCACCCACCCTAGTGCCTAGAGCTGCCCTTTGCCTGCCCCCCTCAGAATTTCCAGGAAGCCCACATTCTCAGCCTACATCAGATTTCCCTGACTTGCTAGGACATGGGGCAAGTGTCCAGACAGTTCTGGACCCCAGGCTCCCAATATGTGTAATGGGGCTGGAGAGCACGGGCTGTTTGCTGGAGTCACCCAGAAGGTGCCACCCTGTATCCTGGCCTTGACCTGGGGTGACTTGGGGAAGGAGGGGCCTGGGCTACGCCACACTCACGGGGCTGGTTTCATTCCCGAAGAAGTGGATGGTGTCAAAGCTGTCCTGGTCCAGGCTGTTGAGGCAGTAGCGCTTGTCCCAGCCCTCAGGGAAGATGTCGAAGCTGATCATGCCTCCTGCAGGGGGTGGGACATGGACAAGGCTGGCAGAGGGGAGGCTCAGGGGGGTGGGCCTGGGCAAGGCCCTTCATTCATTCAACCCTTGAGGGGCCTACTTAGAGCCAGGCACAGGGCATGGCACAGACTCAGGAATCCTCATGCAACTACGATCCAGTGAAGGACAGACAGTAAGCAGAGCAGATGACCTCAGAGCCTGGGGAATGGCTGGGTAGCTCCATTCCTCCCTGAGGGGACACTGAGCTGAGGCTTGAGCCAGGGTGGCAGTTACTGGGGAGCAAGCAGACCCCTAGGCAGGGAAGGGTGTGGAATGCCCCACAACAGAGAAGGCCAGCAAAGGGCAGGGGCAAGGGCACACAGGCCCCGGGGCTCAGGAAGGACTCAGCAGGGGCATGACGTAGTCTGTTCACCCGTAAGGATCCCTATGGCCACCGTGGGGAATGGATGAGGCAGTATGGGCGGCCAGCGGCACTGGAGTTAGCTGGAGCCTGGAGGTGTAAGCAGGGGTCAGATTCCAGAAGCATCCTGGACTCACGGCCCTGGGACTTGCTAGGGGATGAGATTTGAGGAGGGGTGAGGGAGAAAAATCAAGGGGGACACTTTGGCTTTTGACCGGAGCAGCTGGGCAGGCAGGGGATTGATTAGGGTCAGGTGGGGAAGATGCAGTGGGTGGGCAACATATAGTTCCTGCCCACTGTGACTCGGCCGGTCCCTGCCGTGCCCCTGAGGGGAGAGGATTTCCTAAAGGTGCTGGGGAGGGCAGTCTGGCCTTGAGAAACCCTGGGGTGGGCTCTCAGGCTGCCCATGGGGAGGACATACCTCGAGAGAACCTCAGCCCTTTGCCTGAAAACTCTGTTTTCAGGGCTTCCACGAACTTCTCCCGGATCTTCTCCTTCTGCAGAAGAGGGTGGAGTAGACAGAGGTTCAGGGGGCTGCAGTGTGTCAGACCCTGCGCTGGGCACCCAGAGGGTCTGAGCTCACTGAGTCTTCCAGGTGGACACCGTCACCCCCACTTCACAGAGGAAACAGGCTCAGGGAGGGGCTGGGCCTCATTCCAGGTCGCCCGGCCTCAGTGGCAGAGCCAGGGCCTGAATTGAAGTCTGTGACTGAACCCGGTGCCAGATCCTGCCAATGGAGGTGTGGATGGGGTATTCTGTAGTAGAGGACAAGGAGGAAGGTTGAGGGGACAGTGCAGTCTGAGTCCCAAGTTAGTGTCCACCTCAGGGCCGGCTTGGTCAGCAGTGCCTAGCTCAACAAAGCCAACCATGACTCAGACCCCAGAAATGAGAATGAGGAACTAAGAGCATGTGAAGACCTGTGAATAAGTGGCAGTATGTGCTCAGAGAGGCCAGCAGGATGCCAGGCAAGGCCATGCACCAACCACACAACAACGTGCATTTGTTGAGCACCTTCTGTGGGCTGAACTGGGAGATTAGGCAGTGCCCAGGAGTCTCCGGCCCCCACCTCTGGGCAGGACCCTGGAATTCTGCAGCATATCTACAAACATGGAGTAAGAAGACATTGCTCACCAGCCAAGGAGCCCCAGTCTGGTCCTGCAGGGCCAGAGGGGAACAGTCACGCCAGGCCTGGAGGTGCAGCTGTTTTGGCTGCTGCACTACTGGGGGCCAGCACCATGAGAGTGGATGGTTCACCTGGCATACGCTCACTGCAGCTGGGGTAGAGGTAGGGGCCCATCTGGCCAAAGCAGCAGTAAGAGCTCAGCAGGATAATCAGCTCACAGATGGCCTGGAGGACACATATTTGGGGATCAAGAGCCACTGAAGATTTTGGAGCTCAGGAATGGAGTGCCTAGTACTCCTTTCAGTCAGAGTTGGGCAGGACTGGAACAGAGAGAGGTAGGCAGTGGCTAGCGGTTTGGAGCCTGGAGAAGTGGCCTAGGGTGGACATGAGCTATAAGGCCAGATATGACCCAGCCTGAGAGATAAAAGCAGGCTGCCTAGTTCTAGGCCTGGCTTCTGTGCTTCCTGGCTGTGTGACCACTGGGCAAGTCACCTGACTTCTATGAGCCTATTTACTAGGCTAAAAGATGGACAAGTAATAAGTGAACCCTTCCTGTCTCCCTATCATGGAAACACAGAGAAGGGATGGGAGCTCCCTGCCAGCCTTGGCTTGCCTTCCCAGCAGGCAGGTGCGCCCCCAGGGAGACTAGAGTCCCCACCAGAGGCCGTTCTGTGGGCCCAGGGTCGGAGGTGCCCCAAGCTCTGGATAAATGTTCCCGTATGGCCCAGGATGGCTGCTCCTCCCATCTCTGGAGGACCAGGCTGGTCACTGGACAGCCCCCTGTGCCACATCTAGCCTCAGCAGGGACCAGCACTGTGACCTCAAGCTGGCCACTTACCCTGTGGCCTCAGTGTCCTCATCTAAGGAAGGGGACTACCTGTCCTCAGGGTCTGAGGAACTGAAGGAGAGTAAAGCACTTAGATGGGATCTGGGCTGGTGTACATACGGCACTGGAGATCAGGAGCTCCGTGCCCCCTCCGATACCAGAAGGGGGTAAACAGGAGTCAAAGACGAGACCCTGTGGGCTGTGAGAAGAGTCAGCGTTTGCCAACCTCCACCCGGTCCTGTCCTCATTACAGCCCACGGGTGGGCACTATGGTTACCCCTACTTTACAGACGAGCAAACAGTAGTGAAGCCAATCTTCAAAAGTCAGAGGTGGAGCTCGCACTGAAGACCTGAGTGGCCCAGGAGGGACCTCCACTCAGTCAGTACGTCGGGGAGGGATTCTGCCCATGGTCAGCTTTAACCACCTGACGGAAGCCTCAGTACCTTGCTTACTCTAAGCCTTGGGACACAGGCTGGGAGAAGGGTTGGGAGTCCGCGAGCTGGAAGGCATCACCGAGAGTCCCACACGCCCTCAAGGAAACATCAGAGGGTAGCAGACAGAGTCCCAAGTTCAAATCTTTGCTCTGCAACCAATTCCCTGTGTAGCCTTAGGCAAGTCACTTCCCCTCTTCCCCTCTCTGAGCCTGTTTCTTCATTCATACATGGGGATAACACCACTGATTTCATTCATTCCAGAAGCATTTCTCGAGGACTTGCTCGGTGTCAGGCATGCGCTGGGCATAGGGGATCCAGCTGTGAGCAGCCACAGGAATTCCAGGCCTCAGGAGCTTATGGCTTTGGTCGGGGTGACAGACAGCAAGCAAGGTTTTAAGAGTAGGTGATACAGTATATCCCAGGGTGGTGACAGCTGCTTGGGGAAACATAAAACAGAGGAGAGGAGCAGGAGGTGAAGCAGCACTCAACGTTAACGTGGTGCTCAGGAAAGCCTCCACTGAGAAGGGGACCGTGGACGGAGGTGAAGGTGCAGGATGAGCCGAGTCTGTAGGTGTGTTTGGAGTAAAAGGCACAGGCCTGAAGACTGTCTTCTGTCTTTACAATCAGCGAGGGGGACAGAGCCGGAGCAAAGAGAGCAAGGGGGAGAGCAGAGCTTGGTCAGAGAGGCAGAGATGGGCCAGCGTGACGCATGGGAGCATTCCATCCCTGAATGCCAAGCAGAATGCAAGTCAAGGCTTAGCAGGGGCAGCACACGCACAGGAAAGAAGGACCCTGGTATGTCCCAAGATCGGATGCACAGACAGGAGGCGGGAGAGGTGGGATGAGCCAGGCAGACCTCTCAGGGCTGAGGGCACCCAGGTGGGGGCTGGCAAGGGAAGCCGTGGAAGGACCACAGGCAGAGATCGGATGTGGTAGATGTGCGCTGGGAGGCTCTTGATGGCACTGCTGGAGAGCAGACCAGCAGGGTATTACAGGGGGGCAGGAGCAGGGGCAGAACACACGGGTGGACAGATCTGAAACCAACCCTGGAGGCAGAGTCACTAGGAATCACTGTCAGGTCCTCTGTTGGGGGCGGGTGGAAATGGGCCTTAGGTGTTGGATGCCGAAGTGCCCACAGCTGTGGCACATGGCGGGTGTCCAAAGGGGTCCTGGATGAATTGGAAAACCCCCACCCCAGCCCCTTCTCTGAGCAGAACATGAAGACTCAGGGGCACAGCCCTACAGCCTAAGGCTGCACAGCTGGTGGCACCTTGTCCAGTTCGGAGAACTCGATTCGTTCCTCCAGGGTGCAGCTCCGGCCAATAGGTGAGATGTTCAGCATGCCATTCCGGAACTCAATGAAGGTCCCGCTGGTGCGAAGGGGTAGGAGCCAGAGAGAAGGAGAAGGGTGCCAAATTCAAATCCAGCCCCACCTGGGGCCATAGCCTCCTTAGGCTTCATGGGGGACAAGTGTCCGCCCACCCATGAGTCAGGGATCTCCAGCTGGCACCAGGGAGACCCGCCCCCTCCCTCCCTCAGGCCAGGACTGGAGGAGAGGCGGGCCAAGGCTGGGCACGACCTCACCGTTTCTTGGGCAGCCTGAGCAGGGCCATGTAGCGGAGGCAGAAGTTGATCAAGTCCTGCAGTAGTTCCTCTCCCAGGTGGTTCTGGATGGTCTGGGCAAGGAACACGGGGCTCTCAGTGTGGCAGGCATGGGCTCCCCATCCCAGAACAGAAGGCACCCAGGGACTGTCCCCCTGTGGAGAAGCATCCCAGGCTGAGGCCCTGAGAGGCACTGACCTGCTTGGAAAGCAAGCGTCCATGCTTATACTGCACCGTCCCATTCTCAGCAAACACGTAATCAAACTTCTCAGTGACTTCAGGTTACGTGGAGGCCAGGAGAGAAAGAAAGGGCATGAGACCAGGCACCCAGAGCCAAGTGAAGTGATGGAGCCCACACTCCTTGGTTTGGCATTCAAAACCCATCTGTTCCATCCCGATCCGGCCTTTCCAGCCTCCTTGACTGGCAACTCTGGTCCTTTCCAAACAAGGCAACAAGCCAGTCACACCTATGGGCCTTTGTTCAGGCAGGCCCTTCTAGAAGGCAGGAATGCTCGCCCCCTCCAAGATCCATTGCTCTCCTCTGGAAGCCTTCCAGGACTGCCCAGCAGAGGGCATCATCATTTCTGCTCTGTGCTCCCACAGCCCCTCAGTTCAGGGGCTTCAGTTTTACAACCTCCATCACTGTTGCGGAGTCTGGTTGCACTGGGGTTTTCAGCTGTGGCTGCCCCGAGAAGCGGGGAGAGTGGGGAGGCCCAGGGAGCACAGCCAGGAGGCTGTTGCAGGGTCCGAGTGGAAGATGATCACCTGAACAAAGGTGGGGAGGTGGAGATGGAGACATGGACACATTGGAAGGCATTTCTGGACTTGCTGATGGGATGAACAAAGTGGTGGGGACAAAGGAAAAGTCAGGGAAGTTTCTGCCTCAACTGAGCTGAGACCAGGAACTCAGCTGAGAACAGGGGCTCTGGATCTAAAAACTTCCTGGGTGACTCCAGAATCCTCTTCTGTTAAATGACATAATCATGCCCACCCTAAAATAAAGGGTGGTCATGAGGATTAAATGAAAAGAAATTCTCATGTGATCATTTTTGACAAAGGATAGCCATTATTGCTTATGCACGTATTAAAGATGAGGAAATCAAGACTTGGCAGAGAGAACAGGCTGTCAACTGCATTCGGGCTCCCTTGCTCTCTCTCCAAAGCCTGTAGCGCCGCGCACAAGGTAGGTGATCACTAATGTTTTAATCAGTGAGAGAAACGTGCGGCTGGCCCCTCTACTTCCTTCGCCGCGCAGCAGCAGATCTGGGTCTGAAGGCACACTGGTCCAGGGATGTCCGGAACTCCTCACCCCTTCTACCCCCACCCCAGCTGTGGAACCGGCTCTGGGCGGCTCCTCCTACCTTCATCCCCTTCTCCCAGCTGCTCAGCAATCTTAGAGTAGTCGGAGCCGCCCACCACACCGATCTGCACCCTGCTCCGCAGCTTCTGCAGGAAGGCAGCCACCTCAGGGTCAATTTTCTGCACGGACAGGGGAGAAGCACAGGAGTCTGGCTGTCAGCATGCCTGGGACCTCCACCCAGCCCTCACTCAGTGCTCAGAATCTAGGGACCCCATGTTTCACCTGAATCTGAGGCAGTTCAAGGTTAGAACCCAGCTCGTAAAAATAGATGCACTTGGGTCCAAACTCCGGCTCAAGTCCCTCAATTGCAGGATGACCTTGAGCAAATGGCTTTGCCTTAGTTGTCCCTATCAACAAAATGGGGATTATAGTAGCAACCACCTGAGGGGGTCACTGTTAGGATTAAATGGGATAGTGTCAAAAATGCTTGGAAATGAACAAAGAATTAACCGGTCAACAATGACAGGAAAAGATGCCCGAACAAGGAAATATAAACTGAGTTACAATCTGTGTTTACAAACATTTGGATATTCAAAACTGACAATATCTAGAGCAGATGATGACATCAGGGAAACAGCCATTCTCAAACCCTGCTGAGAGTATAAATTACTCACTTTGGAGGGTAATTTGGTAAGATCTATTAAAACTGAAAATGCATGGGCCCCATCACCTGGAATTTCCACTTCTCTTGTCTGGGTATAAATGCAGGTTCATTGGGAAACTGCAAACAACTTATGCGCTTGTCAATCAGAGAATGGTACATACTTGCTCTGAAATAGTATACTGTGGTTACACAGGATAAGGCAGGCCTGTGCTTCCCAGGCCTGGAGCCCGGGACAGTTCTGAGACATGCTGTTAATTGTTAAAATCAAGTTGTAGGAAGGCGCACACAGTACATACCACTTACTAAAAATTTTTTTAAAGCCTTACAAAACAATGCTTATGTCTTCTGGGCACTGAGATCCAGCTGTGTCTAGAACAAAGCCACAATACAGGCACCCATGTTACCTCGGGGAGGGGGCTGGGCCCGGGATCCTCACATAGTCAGAAAGGACTTGGGCCTTCTGTTTTGTTTTCATTCTTTACAAGAGGATGTGTTTGTGAATAAGCATAATGAAACTTAATGCTTAAAAAGCACTAAGAATAGGGCCTGGCATTAACATTGGTGGACAGCATCAACACACTGCTCTTGTATAGGCTGTTGGGTTAGTGGAGCCAAAGCCAAAGCCAGGGCCTCACAGGATGGGGCGGGGCATTCAGGACCTAAGAGGGGAGGCTAAAACCTGGGTCCCCAACAGTCACTGCCCTGCATCTCAGGGCTACCAGCTCCCCGCTCTCAGCGGTCCTTGNCATGAGACATGGTCTGGCCAGGTCGTGGGCTCCTAGGCTGGGTGGCTCCCATGCCAACTGCCTGGGGGGTGGGGGCCACACAGGGTAGATGGGCAGCAGCCGGCTCCGTGCCCCACTGCACTGGCTGATCCAGTGCCCCGGGTGGCCTCAGTGTACACGTCTGTCTGTCGTGCTTGTGGCCGTTGAGTGTGTACCTCCGTTTCCCCATGACTGTTGTGTGAGTTGGATGGTGGGGGAGGCCACCAGACCTGCCTTCTGTCCACCCTCCCCTGCCTTCCCTCCCTACCACACATGCACAGGACCTCTCCCCTCCTGCCCACCTGCCTCCGAGTCTCTGAGGGCATGTGTCAGGGAGGCTTGGCCCCCATCCTGGGCTGGGGTTCCCCACTGGCACCTGGACCTCTCCCCTAAGAAGACAGACCAATGAGCCCTTTGGGGAGCCTGCCAGCCTCTGGAAGGGGAAGAGGATGAAATGTGGGGGCGGACAGGCCCTCACTGCTCTGGCCGCCCGCCTTCCTGCGTTCTCTTCAGTGCGCGGGAGAGGCAAGAAAGGAACCCAAGGGCAGAAGGTGGTCTGCGAGTTTCTGTTTTGCAGGCCATGTTCTTCTGCAGCCTGGCAACGGCTCTGTGAACCCCAAACTGGGGTCCTGTCCCCTCCTGTGGGCTGCGCTGAGCAATGCTGCCTCCACTTCCCCTGAGGAGTCTGCTGAAGGGTGGGGGCACGTCTCCCCAGCTTGGGTGGAGACACCAGCTCCGCCGAATCACACACCTCGCTGATGCTCTGCCTGTGCCCAGCCACCATGGCTGCCAAGAGCCTGGCGATGCATGGCAGCAGGTCCCCTCAGGCAGGGCCAGGCCCAGGCACCCACAGGATGGCCCTCAGCCTTGCAGCCCCTCTGCTGGACCCTCTTCCCAAAGCTGCAGGACAGGGGTCCTGCTGGCCCCCAGTAGCCAGTGGCTGAGGTGTGGTCCCTATCCAGTCCATCCCTTACAACGCGCGTGTGTGTATATGTATGTGTGTGTATTCATTTGCTCTTGGCAGGGGGTTGGCCTGGCCTGGGAGGCTAGGGAGGAGGGGCTTTGCCTCCATCCCCATCACCACCACACTCCCTTCCAGAGAGTGCATCACTGACAGGAGTAGAAATGGGGTTCAAGGGAGGGCCTGCCAGGGACAATGACCCTTTTGAGACCCACTCTGTGAGTAAAATGGGGCTCAAATGCCCAGAATGAAGAGGGTCGGTGACTGTCTGGGAAGACGACCCCCAGTGCTGTAAGTGCCCTGCAGCCTCAGGGTACAGAGCAGCTGGGGTGTGAGCGACATCCCCTACCCCTGGTCCCCACCACACAGAGGCTGGGTGCCCATTGCTGAGTGGTGCTAGCCAGGCCCCCCAAATTGAGAATGGCCCATCCCATCTGATACCCCACTCTAAGCTGGGGCTACTCTGGCAAGACCTGAGGCCTTTCCATGTAGAACAAAGACTCTGACCTCTTAGTGGAAGGTTTACTGGTGCAGGTTAACTCCTGGGAGGCCCCCAAAGCCCCTCCTGGGAGTAGACCCCTGCCTTCTAGGCACAAGCCAGGACGCAGGATGCAGTAACACCAGCCCTGGGGCTTCCTGGGGTGGCAGAGGGGCAGCAGTGCCCCTCCCCAATCACAGCCTTGCGGTGTCCAGCCAGAAACCCTTCTGAGACCCCCGGCCACCTGGATGCCCCCCATACTTCCTAACACTGGCAATAAACCCTCAACTGTGATGCAGCCTGGCCCACAACTGCCTGCTGTCTGGGTCCTGGGGGAGGTGCTAGGGGAGGACACCCCAAACCACCCTTGTTTGGGACTTCAGAGGCCCACATCCTTGACCTGATCAAGGACTTCTTGTGTGACCAGGGCAAGTCCCTGCCATTTGTGCCTCACCTGCTAAGTGGTGGCTGTAACAGCATTTGTGTCTGGGGCCAATTACAGTCAGACAGAATTGACACCTTATCTTGTTCTGGGAACTTTAATGTCTGCGAGAGAACGTTCTCACAAATACACACCTTCCGCACCGCTCTGCACGCACTGGGACAGGCAAGCAGGGCGGGCTCTACCTCTTACCAACCCTTGCACATACCTCCTCCCTGCGTAGACAGAAACCTGTTCTGTTCGGGAGCCCGAGCAGCAGCTGTAGCCAGGGCTGTCACAGAGGGTGGAGCCAGTCCCACGAGGAGCTGGGGGATGGCTGTCCACACAAACCCTGGCCCCATCAAGGTGGGCCTTGCAGCAGGTAATATGAGGCAGGCATCCTGGGTCACAGGAGGGGCCCTGGCACCCCACCCAACACCAAGGGCCAGGGGCTCTCTTTAGGCCTAGGCGGAGATCTCTGGAAGTCCAGAGGGGCAGGTATGGGCCCCGGTCATGCCTCATGAGCTGTCTCTGGGAAAAAGATTTCTCGGCACCGTTGCACCGTGTCCTGAGGGGAGATCACGCTATGGCCGACTGTCCGGGGGTCAGCATAGATCTCAAAGTCGTTCCCACCCTGCCACAGACGAAGGGCAGAGAAGGCAAATATACAAGTGGTGCCAGAGGAGGGTCCCAGGGATCAGGCCCAGCACCCACCCTAGTGCCTAGAGCTGCCCTTTGCCTGCCCCCCTCAGAATTTCCAGGAAGCCCACATTCTCAGCCTACATCAGATTTCCCTGACTTGCTAGGACATGGGGCAAGTGTCCAGACAGTTCTGGACCCCAGGCTCCCAATATGTGTAATGGGGCTGGAGAGCACGGGCTGTTTGCTGGAGTCACCCAGAAGGTGCCACCCTGTATCCTGGCCTTGACCTGGGGTGACTTGGGGAAGGAGGGGCCTGGGCTACGCCACACTCACGGGGCTGGTTTCATTCCCGAAGAAGTGGATGGTGTCAAAGCTGTCCTGGTCCAGGCTGTTGAGGCAGTAGCGCTTGTCCCAGCCCTCAGGGAAGATGTCGAAGCTGATCATGCCTCCTGCAGGGGGTGGGACATGGACAAGGCTGGCAGAGGGGAGGCTCAGGGGGGTGGGCCTGGGCAAGGCCCTTCATTCATTCAACCCTTGAGGGGCCTACTTAGAGCCAGGCACAGGGCATGGCACAGACTCAGGAATCCTCATGCAACTACGATCCAGTGAAGGACAGACAGTAAGCAGAGCAGATGACCTCAGAGCCTGGGGAATGGCTGGGTAGCTCCATTCCTCCCTGAGGGGACACTGAGCTGAGGCTTGAGCCAGGGTGGCAGTTACTGGGGAGCAAGCAGACCCCTAGGCAGGGAAGGGTGTGGAATGCCCCACAACAGAGAAGGCCAGCAAAGGGCAGGGGCAAGGGCACACAGGCCCCGGGGCTCAGGAAGGACTCAGCAGGGGCATGACGTAGTCTGTTCACCCGTAAGGATCCCTATGGCCACCGTGGGGAATGGATGAGGCAGTATGGGCGGCCAGCGGCACTGGAGTTAGCTGGAGCCTGGAGGTGTAAGCAGGGGTCAGATTCCAGAAGCATCCTGGACTCACGGCCCTGGGACTTGCTAGGGGATGAGATTTGAGGAGGGGTGAGGGAGAAAAATCAAGGGGGACACTTTGGCTTTTGACCGGAGCAGCTGGGCAGGCAGGGGATTGATTAGGGTCAGGTGGGGAAGATGCAGTGGGTGGGCAACATATAGTTCCTGCCCACTGTGACTCGGCCGGTCCCTGCCGTGCCCCTGAGGGGAGAGGATTTCCTAAAGGTGCTGGGGAGGGCAGTCTGGCCTTGAGAAACCCTGGGGTGGGCTCTCAGGCTGCCCATGGGGAGGACATACCTCGAGAGAACCTCAGCCCTTTGCCTGAAAACTCTGTTTTCAGGGCTTCCACGAACTTCTCCCGGATCTTCTCCTTCTGCAGAAGAGGGTGGAGTAGACAGAGGTTCAGGGGGCTGCAGTGTGTCAGACCCTGCGCTGGGCACCCAGAGGGTCTGAGCTCACTGAGTCTTCCAGGTGGACACCGTCACCCCCACTTCACAGAGGAAACAGGCTCAGGGAGGGGCTGGGCCTCATTCCAGGTCGCCCGGCCTC